TGGCTCAATCTTACCAAAACTGAGCTCATGACATTCCCCCCCCCAGTGCCCACTCTCACAACAATCCTTCCCTCACTCTGCCCCTCATGCCAGGGTGCTCAGTGTAATCCTGGACTCTGACCTCTCCTTTCAGCCCCACAGCCAATCACTGTCCAAATCCTGCCACCTTCTTCACCTCTGTAACGTATTCAGAATTCATGCTTTTTAACCAATGACACCACCAGGATACTTATTCACTCCCTCGAATATTGCAACTCCCTCCTCATTGGCTTACTTCTACACAGGCTCCTCCCCCCTTCATTCTAACATTAGAATTGCAGCCCCTCTCTACCAATCTCACCCTGGCTTCTATCCCCAATCCATCCACTGGCTTCCATTCCCTGCACCTCTCTGCCAATCCCTCCACTGGCTTCCATACCCCACCCTCTCTACTCATCCCTACACTGCCATCCATCCCTTGCCCCTCTCTACCAATCCCTCCACTGGCTTCCATAACCCACCCTCTCTGCTGATCCCTCCAGTGCCTTCCATCCCTTGCCCCCCTCTACCAATCCCTCCACTGGCTTCCATACCCCACCCCACTGTTTCTTTATGTTGTAAAAATTTTTTATAACTTTTTAATTCATTATTTCTTCTTATTTTTTGTAATTTTTATTTATTTAATTACTTTTTTATCAATTTAATTATTTTTTCATTTTGATTTATCTTATTTACTTTTTAAAATTTTTTAAATCTTATTATTGTTTATGACCAATCCCCTGTGTGATAGCAATTGGAGGTGACGGGTTCTCTTTCTTGACCCCTGTCACCTCCAATACAGGAGTTCTAGCACAGCCCTGTGCTGGAACTCCTGTGACAGGTGAGAGGGGAAGAGCGCAGCACGGCACAGCACAGCACAGCACAGCTCTCCCCTCTCACTGTCTACACAGAGCGGCAGGGTTACCTTTAACCCTGCCACTCTGCTCACTGCAGTGAGGAGACGGACTTGGCGGCGGAGCCCGGAGGACGGAAGCAGAGGAGAGGAGGCTGCAGACATCGCCGAGTTCACATGTAAACGAACAATCGGCTGCCTCAGACTACACGTAGCTCGGCTTGTACAAAGCAGGGCTAAATGTAGAGAGGGCAACTTACCGCCCTGTGGGTGGCAACGCACCTCCCGCACCAGAACCTGTAGTAGGTACAATTGCATGGTGCTGTGCATTCATTGAACTGTACTAGTGTGAAAACTTCCCCTGGGTCTCCTACCTAGAGAAGAGATGCTGTAGATTGCCTGATGCTCCAAGGCTTTCTCTCTGAGAAGGGTGCCCATGTGTTTGAACTGATGCCCGGGTTTTGAGCCCTATTGCATGAAGCATGGGGACTAAAATGCCATGGAGGAACTTCAGCCTGAATATGGAGCCCGATGAGCTGTCTAGAAGCTTGGTCTTTATTGGTCCTTATTGGATGAACGCTATGTGTGTTATGGCTACATTGTGGACTTATAGTAGGTGCTCCTGCATCTAATTTGAATACACATAAGATGTATTGTATAGCAGGAACAAATGTTGTCCATCTGTCAAATCTTTGACTTTTCAGGCTTACCAGGTTGCTTCTGACAGATTGCTTCTTCATCTGCAAAATGACATTGACTTGCAAAACAACTATCAAGAGATAATGAATCAGCTGAACAAAGAGTTCCTACCGACTCAGTCACTGCGGCTTTGGCCCATTTTAGCTTTCGGGTCCCAAAGCAAAGAGGAACTCACGCTGTCTAACACTTTGGCCTCCAACAGCAGCTGAAGACCTGTGTTCCTGAACCCAGACTGAGCAACTGGAAAGTGTAACATGCACTTTCCTCGATTCCAGTGAGGGGCACTGTTTGTTTTTTTCCCCCAAAATGAATGATAGCTCCAGGTCTCTATCTTGACACGTTCCTCATCTGCAGAATGAGATCAGTTTGTAAATTATGCACTGCGAAGAACTTCCTTGAACCTTCTGCCATGGTCACCATCTTTGAATGAGTGCACGTCGCTGATGACTAGGACATATTACTATATGCCATATACTATATACAGTATTTACCTGGTGATCCATCCAACAAATGCAGGACAGAAGGTCATCTCCAACTGATATCACATGCAAGCTGAACGCTCCAGAATGTATTCTGCATTTGCTTATCAACACAATCCCTAAAACCCTTCTCCTCCAGTGTAATTCTACAGAAAGGTGATCATATCCCCCCTTAATTGGCTCTTTACCAAAGAGAACCATCAGTACTGTCTCTGATCAGCGCTACAGCTGCTCTTTTACTTGTAGTTCTACAACATTGTGTGTCACTAGTGAGACAGAGCATGGCTTGTATAGCAAGGATTATCACAAGCACTGGGGAACAGGCTGATGATGCCTAAATATGGCCCCACCAGCAACAAGGCCAATTCCAGAGCAGGGGGTGTGTGGTTAGGTAAATTAAGCCACAGCTGACTAGATCAGTGCTGCAGCGGGGTGATTAACCCTCACCAGTCATTGCTCTGGCCAGCAATAGAGGCTGCCTGAACCACAGAGGCTGCCTGACAGGACAGCCTACTGCCTCTCCTGTCCTTTGGCTTGCCTCCTGGTATCCATATCTGCTGCCTGTACTGACCTTTGGTTTGTCTCCTGGTATCCATATCTGCTGCCTGCCCTGTCCTTTGGATGGCCTCCTTGTATTTATATCTGCTGCCTGCCCTGTCCTCTGTATTGTCTCCTGGTATCCATATCTGCTGCCTGCCCTGTCCTTTGGCTTGCCTCCTGGTATCCATATCTGCTGCCTGTACTGACCTTTGGCTTGTCTCCTGGTAATTGTGTCTACGGTCTGTCCTGACCTTTGGCTTGTCTCCTGGTAATTGTGTCTACGGTCTGTCCTGACTTTAGGCTTGTCTCCTGGTGATCCTAGTGTGCATCATGCCCTGACCTCTAGCCTTGTCTCCTGATTACTGTCATCCACCATCACCTAAGTCTAAACCTCTTATAACACAAGGAAGGATGGAGACAGATGAGGTCTGACTAATGCTTTGTGTAAGGGCAGATTGTGTCGCTCTGTCTCTCTGGATTCTATACCTCTTAAAATACAGGGAAGGATGGAGACAGATGAGGTCTTACTATTACTTTGTATAGAGCAGGTTACATCTCTCTCTGGAGTCTATACCTCTTATATACATCTTATAATACAGGGAAGGATGGTGACAGATGAGGTCTTACTAATGCTTTGTATAGGGCAGGCTATGTGTCTCTCTTTGTAGCCCATCCCTCTTATAATACAAGGAAATGCTTTGTTTGCTTTAGAAACAGCAGCCTGAAATTTCATGTCATTGTTAAGTTTATGATCAACCAGAACTGCCAGATATTTCCCAGTCATTGACACCCCGAGATGTGCTCCACCTAGATTGTATGATGCAATAATGCCCAAAAAGCAACAACTACAGTCATCAACATTAATCCTCATTAATCCTACAGTATGTTTTCCTCATAGCTACCCCATAATACAGCATTCAGGTCAGCTGATAAATCACATGAATTGTACTTTTTCCCCAAACTCTATATCATTTATAAACGGGTTACCTTGGGGTTACACCACTGAGAACATTGAACCTTGGGGCACACCACTGAGAACATTGAACCTTGGGGCACACCACTGAGAACATTGAACCTTGGGGCACACCACTGAGAACATTGAACCTTGGGGCACACCACTGAGAACATTGAACCTTGGGGCACACCACTGAGAACATTGAATCTTGGTGCACACCACTAACAGCATTGAACCCTGGGGCACACCACTAATAACACTGAACATTGGGGTACAATACTACTAACCTTGGACCATTCAGAATATGAATAATTGATCTCTACTCTCAGAATACGGGTTCCTGGTTTGGCTGCACTCTCTATAGGGTTGCTGCCAAACCAGCTGCTGACAAGCCAGAACCCTTCCCATCACAGCTCAATATAAATTTTAAGCTGCAGAGACTGTAGACCACATACATGCTTTTTCTTGCTAAGCCCTGTGTCCATGTCTGTTAAAAGCACCCCCCCCCCAACTGATACTCCCCTTTCCAGTGTACCCCTGCTGCTCCTTCTTTCATGCGTGGTTTACATGTTTTGCTACATGTTATTGCAATTTACAGTGACACGTGTACCGCCATTAAATTCGCATATCACCACAACACTCTTATACTATAGCGAGTAATGTGCCCACAGCTGCAGCACATTACAACACACACGCTGCGCATGTCGTTGTATAAAAAGGTCCTATGGGCCCATTTACACTTCCGTGTTGCGCTAACATGTGCAATTCGATGGCACCTTAACTCTCCTGCATTGGCAGCCCATTTATTTTCTATGAGCTGCTGTAACACAACACACATTAACACACACAGCGTGATGGAAGTGACCTTGCGAAATTGCAGTAGACGTGAGAGTTGCTGAACCAGCCTGCTGCCACTGCTGTTTTGACGTAACTCTTACATCCATGGCAGTAAAAGGGTTAAATCACCTCCAACTTACAGATACACACCACCACCTTTTCTGTTTACCTCGTCTCTCCCAAAAAAACCCCCAAAGCAGCTAATAACAATAGTCTAAAAAATCAAGCCAAGATTCCTCAACACCAATGACACCATCGTGTTTTCCATGCGAAGCTTCCCCCCATGGTGGTGGTGGTGAACCTCCTCCCTCCCTCTGACACATTAGATCCCTCGCTGGTTCTCAAATGACACAATCCAAGCAGAATATGGACCCTTTGGGTCTCTGTGGGCTGCCTCATCTTGTAATAATACCTCATGATGTTTGTTCTCCAGATGATAGATACTTCTAATTGACCCAAAATGACCCACCTTTGTAGACGTGTTCATAAATGTCATTTCATAGCTTCAAAATGATAGATCTTACCTCATAGGGTTTCTATTATATTGTCCGCTTCCTACAGGTCTCCTCCCATGTGATTTGTATTCTATGATTCCATATCGGTGAGCACACACTGACCTCTATGAATCCCTGGTGGTACGGTTGGCTATGGTTGGACCCGTGGTGATCTCTGGAGCTACGGTTGGCTCTGGTTGGACCCGTGGTGATCTCTGGTGGTACAGTTGGCTCTGGTTGGACCCGTGGTGATCTCTGGTGGTACGGTTGGCTCTGGTTGGACCCGTAGTGATCTCAGGTGGTACGGTTGGCTCTGGTTGGACCCGTAGTGATCTCAGGTGGTACGGTTGGCTCTGGTTAGACCCGTAGTGATCTCAGGTGGTATGGGTGGGTGTCCCGGGAGGGTTCTGGTGTCCTCAGTGCCGTGTGATGACGGATCTGCTTGTCTCTCTGCCTCTTTATAATCACTTTTATTATACCACACATCATAAAAATGCCCTTTGCCCATATCCCTCACTTGATTTTGACCGCTCTGTCGTTTCCGCATCAATATCTGGACCTTGAACCGTAATTATACGTTAATCATACATTATTAAGTGATATCACTTTTCACCTGGAACACGGCGCGGTGATAACAAAGTTTATTTGTAGATATAAATCAAATTTAAAACACATTTCTATAAATAAACGAAAATATTCTGAAAACCTTCATAAAAAGAACCTGTTAGATGCAGAGATTGGAAAGATAAATACAATTTGACATTCCCCATGCTGGAATATAAATACAGTGAAGATAATAATGATTTGATCCCCTGAAGATTACAAAGAAATGGAAGGCCTATAATTTTTTTCTCATCGGAGTATTTTAAATGATAGAGACAGAATATCAACCAAAAACCCCCAAAACACACACATGATACAAATGTTATAAATGGAGTTGCAGTTCAGTGAGTAAAATACGTATTTGATCCCCTACCAACCAACAATCATTCTGGCTCCTCCCAAAGACTGGCCATGTGGTACACAGATGAGTCCTGTCACTTTAAGAAGGTGCTCCTAACGACAACTCGTTATGTGTATAAAAGACGCCTGTCCACAGAATCTCTTTCTTCCATTCAAACCTCCCCCACCATGGGAAAGACCAAAGAGCTGTCAGAGGACGTCAGGGACAAGATTGTAGACCTGCACGAGGCTGGAATGGGCTACAAGACTGTCAGCAAGGAGCATGGTGAGAAGGAATACAAAATAACCATCAATGGCCCTCGGTCTGGAGCTCAATGCAAGATTCCGCCTCATGGGCTAAGGGTGATCATGAGAAAAGTGAGGGATCAGCCCAGAACTACATGGGAGGAGCTTATGAATGATCTCAAGGCAGTTGGGACCACAGTCACCAAACAAACCATTGGTAACACAATACACCGCCATGGATCGAGATACTGCAGCGCCCGCAAGGTCCCCCTCCTCAGGAAGGCGCATGTACAGGCCCGTCCCCCTCCTCAGGAAGGCGCATGTACAGGCCCGTCCCCCTCCTCAGGAAGGCCCATGTACAGGCCCGTCCCCCTCCTCAGGAAGGCCCATGTACAGGCCCGTCCCCCTCCTCAGGAAGGCCCATGTACAGGCCCGTCCCCCTCCTCAGGAAGGCCCATGTACAGGCCCGTCCCCCTCCTCAGGAAGGCCCATGTACAGGCCCGTCCCCCTCCTCAGGAAGGCCCATGTACAGGCCCGTCCCCCTCCTCAGGAAGGCCCATGTACAGGCCCGTCCCCCTCCTCAGGAAGGCCCATGTACAGGCCCGTCCCCCTCCTCAGGAAGGCCCATGTACAGGCCCGTCCCCCTCCTCAGGAAGGCCCATGTACAGGCCCGTCCCCCTCCTCAGGAAGGCCCATGTACAGGCCCGTCCCCCTCCTCAGGAAGGCCCATGTACAGGC